TCTGCCACTCCAATGATTTCTTCATAGCTAACACTGTCTTCAAACAACCAAAATGATGCCTTTTTACATCGACATCACCAGATGGAGTATATAGAAATCAAATTGACTATATTATTGCTAAAAAGAGGTGGAGGAGCTCAATTATAGCATCAAAGATATGGCCAGGTGCTGACTGTGGAACAGGCCATGAACTGCTCATATGCAAACTCCAAGTTAAGCTGAAGAAAAAGAAGAAAGCCAGTCAGTTTCCACGATATGATCTTGAACATATACCCACAATTTTGAAGGAGGACACCAGAAATCGCTTTGAAGTCCTGAACTTCACTGATAGGGAATTATGGAATGAACTTAAAGAAGTTGTTAAGGATGAATGTGAAAAGAGACTGCCAAAAATGAAGAAAGAAAAGAAAGCAAACCATGGAAATTGCTAAGAAGAGAAGAGAAGAGAAGCCAAAGCCAAGAAAGACAAAAATCTCAGAAAGGAATTTAACAAAGAGTTTCAGAGAGCTGTTAGAAAAGACAAGAAGCAATACTACAACAACATCTGTAAATAAATTCAAGATGGAAACAGGCATGGAAAAACAAGCAAAGTCTTTCAAAAGATCTCTGAACTCAGAAGGAGGTTCCAACCTCAAATTGGTATGCTAAAGGACACCAGTGGACAAATAGTAACCAATTCAAAGGAGATCAAAGGAAGATGGAAAGAGTATACTGAAACACTATACAGTAGACACACCAACATCCAAGATACCTTAGAAGATACTCCTTATTTACAAGAGCCTCTAGTACTAGAAGATGAAGTTATATCAGCAGTCTGGTCATTACCAAGTTGGAAGGCTACAGAAACTGATGGAATACCCACTGAAATATGGCAAGCAATAGAAGAAGAATCAATCAAAGTTCTAACTAAGTTATGCCAGTAAATCTGGAAAACAATACAGTGGCCAACCAATTGGAAGAGGTCAATCTATGTTCCAATACCAAAACAAGGAGGCTAAACATAATGTGCAAACTATTGTACAATATCCTGAATTTCACATGCTAGCAAAATAATGCTTAGGATCATGCAAAACAGATTAGAGCCCCACATAGAAAAAGAGATGCCAGATGTTCAACTTGGCTTTAGAAAAGGCTGAGGAACAGGAGGCATTATTCCTGATGCACCCTGGATAATTGAGAAAGCCAAAGAATACCAAAAAGAAGTCAGTAAGTGCTTCATCGATTATGGAAAAGCCTTTGATTGTGTCAATCATGTCAAGCTGTGGAAAGCTCTCAGAAAAATGGGAACCTCAGAACATCTCATTGTCCTCATGAGAAACTGTATGTATGTATGTATGTATGTATGTATGTATGTATGTATGTATGTATGTATGTCAGGAAGCCACAGTAGAGACAACGTGGCAGAACAGAGTGGCTCCAGGTTGGCAAAGGAGTATGACAAGGCTGCATACTCTCTCATCTATTCAAGCCATATGCTGAATATATATTAAGGGAAGCTAGATTGGAAGAAGATGAGCATGGTTTTAAAACTGGAGGAAGAAACATCAGTAACCTGTGCTATGCTGATGACACTGCCCTGATAGCCAAAAATGAAAAGGATCTGCAAGCCTTAGTACTAAAAGTCAAAGAGCACAGTGAAAAAATGGGACTAAAATTAACCAGCCTTAGAATTGGCAACAAAGATATCAAAATGGTGGATAGGTTCTGCCTTTTAGGATCAACCATTAACAGTAAAGGAACAAGCAGTCAAGAAATACACTGCAGCCTAGCCCTTGGTAGAGCAGCCATGAAGGCCTTGGAAAAGATATTCAAATGCCATGATGTGTCTATACCTACAAAGATCAGAATCGTGCAAACCATGGTATTCCCTGTGACACTCTATGGAAGTGAAAGTTGAATTTTAAAGATGCAGGATAGGAAGAGTATTGATGCCTTTGAACTGTGGTGTTGGAGAAGACTCCTGAGAACTCTATGGACAGCCAAGAAAACAAACCAATGGATCATCAGACAAATCAACCCAGAGTTCTCACTCGAGGCACAAATGACCAGGCTCAAAGTATCCTACATTATGCAAAGACCCAGCTCTCTGGAAAAGGGTCTGATGCTAGGAAAGGTGGAAGGAAAGAGTAGAGGACAACGAGCAGCAAGGTGGCTAGCTGAGTTACAGTGGCGATGAGTGCACCATTGGGAGACTTGAAAGAACAAGTTAGGGATAGATCATCATGGAGAAGATATATCTATGTAGTCGCTAGGAGTCAAAAACGACTTGATGATCAATCAATCTATTATTGTCAAAAGAATCTTCTGGGTTTTGCTGCAGGAGACATATAGTCACATCTCTATTGCATTTTTATGTAGTGTATTATCTTGCTTTAAAGAGTTGCTGGCAGGTGCTGGGTACAAAGGATGTAGTAATGTAATGTTGGATATCCAAAGCAAATTCTGTCCAGTCAAGCTCAGAGGAAGAATGTCCTGCATTCAAGGAGATTTCTCAAACCCAGCATCTTGTTGTATACACTTTTTAAAAAAATATAGCTTTGGGTCATCATTCAAGCTTTTTAATGTTTTAATCATACCTTTTCTTCCAATTCCTTTATTTGTCTTTTTTGAGCTTCAATTCTTTCTTCTAGCTCCTTAATTCTCTGTAAAAATTAGAATTATGTATGAATACTATATTTTTAGACTTTTATTTAAGCCCAGTTCTGATTCTTTGGTATGCTGTACTTTTGTGGGGAGAGGGGATTTGAAGGGGACAGGCACCCTGGTAGGATGGGGAGATGCACACCCTATGAAGTAGCAGAGCCAAACTGTGCTCTAAGTAGGTCCCACCTAAAGTTACATTAGTGAGCATTATTGCAAAATAGGGAAGTATGTTAATAAAAGTTGGTATCGTTGGTAGGAAAACAAGTCATGGGAATCTTCAACATTCCATGGATGGAAGATGGGACCAACCTTTGAAACATTCTTGGGCTTTGGGCTATGATATGCTCACAATTAATACACTAAGTCACACTGTGACCATTACAAGGTCTGCAACCATTAAGGCTGTGGAAGTGACTATGCATGAAATGGAGTGCTGTGGCTGAGGACAACTCGTATCCCTATGGCTGGTTGTTCCTGCTTATCCAGTTCCTTAAACAGAGCCTTTTAAATCAAATTTAATATAAAACAAGTAACAGTATAAACAAAACACAAGTGAGAGTCATTGCTCTTCTTCCAGGAAGCATTCTTAGTGGCACAATATCCTATATCACCATACCTGTTGCGCATGTTGAATATGCTCCATCCTTTCTCGGAGAATCTGAGAATCCCTTTCTCGGAGTTCACTCATAACCTGCCGTTTCCATTGTTCCACAGCATTTTTCAACTTTTCTCTCTCTTCTTCTGAAAGTATTTCTGACATTTTGGCTCCAGCCTCCTGCTGTAGAGCATCATATAGCATGGCTTCCAATTCCAAAATGTGCTGAATAAATGAAGAATCAAGCTACTTTATTCACATTAGGTTTGGGTGATGGTGGGGGTTTAATATAGCAAATATCTTTATTACGGTCTTTGACCAGCCTTGGTTTAATATATTTTGTGACTCTCTGCTCCGCTGTTCCTTGCCTTTCATTCTATATTAACGCTAGCATTATTATTCTAAAATGCCGATGGTGACAGAATGAAAAGCTTAGTGTGAAGTAAAAATATATGTTTTATGTGTGAGGAAAGTTTGAAATTATTCCAGTTGTGTTGGATTTCTCCTAATTCTTTTTAATGGCAATCTAATACAGTAACACAATAAACCTAGTAAGATAGGTGACTCTTGGTTTGAAAAAACCTTTGGAGAAGTTCCATATTATGGGCACTTTCTCATCCCACTTACTCAGGTTTTGTCTCTGGGTCCATTATTCATCCCTGCATACAAGTGAGTGGAAAGTGACAGTTTTACCAGCTCACTTTACTTGTTTTGCTAGTGGGGAGAGGGCGGGGGCTTGAAGTGTCATATGAGGGCACTTCTGATAAAGAGAAGGAGAATTCTTGTAAGAGAAAAATATTGTTCTTGTAGGATTTTTTTTCTGTTTCTTTACAAAAAAGCCAAAACACGGGCAGGATGGAATGGAAATATCCAGGAATCTACCTCAGCTGTACTCTTTTTCCTTTAGGAAAACACCCACCAGCTCTTATGTCCTATCCCTCCTCCTTACTGCCTTTCCAGACTCATTTCCTTTCCTGATGCAGAGAGAGTCGTATACTGCCTCCTGGAGCAGCTGAACAAGACAGGCCGTAGTTCAAATAGTCTCAGCCAGAACGTTATCCTCTCAGAGAACATGACAGCTGGCCTCTTCTCTTGCCTCCATCTTCAATACTGTACTAAAGTTATTTTGTACAGAACTCATCTATTTAAAGCTCAATCACAACCAACAAATCCTTTTTAAATGACTCAGTCCTTACTCAATATTCCAAGTTCTTAGAAAAGGAGTTATAACTTAAACCCACTTGTGGTCCCTTTTCCTAACATAAATGAGAGTACTGTAGAGAGATGTGAAATATAGCACTCATTGATGGCACCACTAGATGGTGCCCACATTCTCACTCCTAAGTATACATATGGTTATGTAGCCTAAAGTCTTATATGCCTTCTAAATCTTGCAACATTTCTTATTTTCTCTCACACAATTTCATTAGATTTGGCTCATTTAATGTTTTTTAATGTTTTGGTACCCACAATACTGTGCATAATAATATAATTATGCCTGCTGCTCAAAAAGATTGCTGACTCCTGGTATAGAGGTAGATCTCTCATGGCCTATCTACTCTCTGACCTACACACAACCTTGTTTGTAAGGCAGAAGTGACATAGAACAAGCACTTGGACAAGGCTGCCTTCTTCTTTATGGACTGGTTGGTGCTATGAATGGCTGAAGGTAGATCTGACCCAATGTCAGAGGTGTCTGCAGGGTGTGGTTTAAAAATTCAAGATGGTGGCTGCGATGGTGCAATCAAAGTTCTATCATGTTTTATGGGTGTCACATGTGGAACCCACATAAAAAACAGGTAGAAGATTGATTACATCACTGCAGTTGCCATCTTGACTTTTTTTTTTACCACATCCTGCAGTCATCCCTGCTCAGTGCCTTTGAAGAATGATGAAATATTATTGGACAAGTATTACTGTATGTTTGCTGTATTAAAAAAAATGCGTTGACATATGAATGTAGGAAGGATATGAATGCAAAAATGTAATTTTTTTTCTCTTTGGTGGTGCTTCCAAAGACAGCGTTCACTGTATGGCCTATCAGCTAACATTGTTGAGCTATTCCATCATTTCTACATTAACCACTTCTCTTTTTTTTAGATTTTTTTTATCCCACCTTTATTATTTTTATAAATAACTCAAGGCAGCCAAGAAACCTAGTACTCCTTCCTCCTCCTATTTTCCCCCCAGCAACAACAACTCTGTGAGGTAAGTTGGGCTGGGAGCGAGTGACTGGCCCAAAGTCACCCAGCTTTTTAAACTCTTTTTTTTTCCTGCTAAGGGCAATAATTCTACACCCATGCTTGAAATGAATGGGGTATACAGAGAATACCTCTCCTAGATGGGATCAAAACATCATCATCATCATCATCATCATCATATTGCAGAATGAATATCACATTTCAAAGTCCAAAAATAGCACAGAAAACTTTTATTCATGAGCTAGGCAAAAAATGGAGATATTTCCGTATCTCTGCAATGTTTCCAAGGGAATGCTCCATGGCACGGGTTTCCCAGTGATGATACAGCAATCTTCTCCATGTGAATTATTTAAAGCCTGTGGGGACCTTTCTTTTCATGCTCCATTTTGTAATCCATGATATATGATTAGGTGCCGAGTGGAGCATGACAACAAACTCTCAATGGATTAAAAATGGAACTTGAGTAAGAGCGAGCGCGCAAGCAAGCACAAAAGAGCACAAAGGGTTAATCTGCTATGGTTACATAAAAGTCATTAAATTGTGGCTTTTCAAGCTGGCAGTGACAAAAATCTGAGCTGCCCAATATTTTTACCAAGCAAGTTCCGCTCACGTTCATCTGATTCATCTGAACCATTCTTCATAGTTTTCTGCCCTATTATATAATTGTGTATAAAGTATGTATACTTCTCTATCAGGGAATAGGGAAGATTTCATTAAGGCTCCATGGCATAGACGAGGAGGGGAAACCTAACCATGCCTTCCTGAGCTGAAGTCCTGATCAAAACACCCTCTCCCAGAATCTACTAGTTTCACACAGAAAAACATCCATAGATATTGGGGATTGCGTCCAGAAGTCTTGCACTGAAGTTGAAAAAGGAGAGAGTCTCTCCCTACCTGCTCTAATCCCAACTGCTCCCCCGGAAACTGATTCTCATATAATCAAATTACACTAAAAAGGTCAGAAACAGATTTCTTGTCTAATGATTGGTTTCAGATACAGTACAGTATGGGCCAATCTGACAGATCTGCCACCAAACTCCTGGGAATTAAAATCTCTGCATGCCAAGTCCCAAATGTAATATGTGTTCAGCATCTGTAGCATGTTAACTTGCATTAATGAATCTTTTACACCGAACGCATGGTCACTAAGGTACAAAACCTTTCAAGCTATGTGTCCCAAAGATTTAAAAGAGGCTCTCAGAATAATTTAGCTTTAAGGATCGCAGCAAGAACTCTTGCTTTCTGATAGGTCCTTCGGATGGTTCATCCTAAAGATGAACCAAAATAAATTTTGTCCATGGACTTTCATACCTACCTTGTGTGCTTGATCTAAAGACTGCTTCCTGAAATCCAGCTCATCATCCAGATACCCCTTTTGTTTACTAAATAGGTCCTAAAAACAGAGAGATTGGGGTTATACTGATTCTGCCAGGAAGTACAATACGTAGCCACTGATTTTAATTGATTGATGAATCCTTACACTACCTTTTCATTTTCTAGGTCTATCATCTTTTGCTGAAGTGCTGATTCTGTAACTTCTATCTGCTGCAGCCACTGTAGAGAAATGAAGAAAGATCAGATTCAGATAAGCATATCAAACACAAGACGAGGCTTCACTACGCAACTCTGATTATTGCTTTTATAACAAAATACCTCAGTACGCTTGGTATCTCTAAGCCTGGCAATTCAGCTATAATCATCCAATTTCAGCATTGTGATTTAGCAAAGATAATCTGATCTTTGGATCCAATCCTGCACACAAACGAGCTGAACATAATGCCCCTATATTTATATTGTCATCATAAACTAATAGTAAACCTAAGTTATCAGTATGATATTTATGCACCCAAATCAAGGCTACTAAGGCACTTCCATTTTACAAAAGCAAAGAAAAATATTTAGGCTAATGGAACTGTGCGAAACTGGGCACTAATCAGCAGTTAGAGATTCCAAAATAACTGTTGAGAAGAGGGAACGGAACATTAGGGAAAGGGGAAACAGCATGAATTATCTTTAAAGATACTGGCTATGAACACACCACTCTGCTTCATTTTGTTGCTGATCCCATTCATATCAATTTAATAGCTATAGATATTTATAAGGAATTTGATTGGAAATGGAATTTACAGCTTTAGTTATTCTATTAATCCACTTTGGTTACTCCACCCCTGCATCCCAGCAACAATACATCAGACATATATTCCTTAATCCAGACAGAATTTGTTCTGTATGGTGCAGAATATGACTTGAGAGCCACCCTACTATTTATGCTGGTGACATGGAGCTCTGAAAATCATTTTCAGGCAATGATAAAAGCAATTTGTAGGACCAAATGTTAGATATGTTTTTGAAGGCAAGGTTAATGAGGAAGTCAAATCTGTTACATTTGCTGTCCTTCTATAAATCATTGTAGTGTTGCATCAGAAAATAACAGTTATGCTAAAGTAATTGAACACTGAATCCCTCTTAGCGAAACAACATTGCTGTTACCTTTTCTGCCAGGGTCAAAACTGTCCGTGCTTGTATGACTACAACTTGCTCATCGTTTGTTAAGTTCTGCATTAAGAGCAGAATAAAAGTATTATCATACCACACATCTCGGCATTGTTTTCCTGTTTCCAAGGCTACTCTTGCACTGAATATTTAAACATTTCTTAAAACTACAAATCAAAAGTAGTACTTTCTTAGGATAGTACTGGTTGTAAATTCAAGATAACCCATGATTATGAGGTGTTGAATAGAATTGGTCTCTACAATCTACTTCAGATGTAATACATACATGTGGACCTACTCCATTACTGAAGTATCAAATATGAATTCTCAACAAATACATTTGTAAAGAAACACGGTGATGATGATGTAGTAAATAAATAATATTATTTATCTACTACATTTTTATTTACTACATTGTTTGTTATTTATTTAAGTTTGTTCACTTCCAGATATTAGAACTTAGAAATCTGGAAAAGCAATAGATATTCATAGTGAATTACATCTCTGTCTGATTTTGTGAGACAATACATGGAACAGGTCTGTTGCCTCCAGAAGTGATTTGAAGGTGACTTGAAAACAGGCTTTTCATTTGTTTATGAGAAGCTCTTCTGCACCATTTTTTCCCCCTTCCCTACTTCACAAAAGATGTGGAGCTCTCCAATCATCTTCTCTGAAAATGATTGCCTATCGGTCGCATTGAATATCCACCCACAAAAACCTCAGTAGTTGCAAATTAATCAGGGGGAGGAAATGAGAAACCTAATTTACGACCCACCCTGCTTCCCTCTCATCACTGTAAATCTACAAACTGCTGATGCTGAGAAGCTTATAAAGATGTTCTGGTAGATTGCAAGTGCAGTATGCATTCTGATAAATCTTGGCAAAACAGCAAGCCTGCCCTTTCGAATGATCTCCCGCACTCCGAATAGTCAGTGGGCCCCAGCCCCTGCTGGTGCTTAGAAAGGCCTAAAAATGTGACTATTCCCCCAAAGGTTGGGGCTGGGATGAATACGTTCACAACAAGAGAGGGTGTGAATGTGAGCCAGTTTGCCTCTTACTGATTTTTACGGCTGATTGTTGATTGCTGTTTTTATCTTGATTATTTCCCGCAAGTTGCCAGGATCACACTGTTCACATTGGGCAGCTATATAAATTATTTAAACAAATTTTTAAAAAAATCAGGAAAGGGAAGGGTGTAAAATTAAGGCTCAGACACACATACTCCTCCTAATGAAGGAAAAGGCCAGCTTGCTTTGCGTCTAATTAGATGTTGCCCTGACTTATTGGGGAAATTAAATGGCGCAATTGGCAGCAATTGTCATGGAGGCTCTGGAAAAGGGTTTGGGGCCAGATGAAGCCCGTGGGATTGTGCAGACCATGCCAACATAAACAAAATTAATTCATTTCAGTTAGGCTTCTGTCTCAAACTATAGTATGTTCTGAAATACAATTCTCTATACAATTAAAAGATTTAAAAGAGAAGGAAAAGTAGCAAAGAATAGTAAAACACCAGCAAAACATGCGTAAAGGAAATCCAATACCCATATTACAATATTAAAATAGCATGTGAACTACCTTAGGCCAGGCATAAGTAACTTTACTGTGCCTGGAAATTACTTTCCATGTTGTGTGTTGCTTGAAAGGCAGAGAAAGCACATCTGGTGACGTCGTCATCGTCATGATACACACAGCACTCCTAAAATTGACTCTGTCCATTCTGAGTGCTTCTGATAGGATATTGGGAGAGGTGATAGTGGCCTGCAGACTACTGCTTGCCAACTTCTGCCTTATTCTATAAGGCAGTGGTAAGGGCGTGGGGAGTAGTATAATGATTGTTAGTATGATGGTATCACAAGAGTGGATGATGAAAGGGTTAATGCATCTGTTTCAGCCCTTAGCTACCCCATCCAGACAAAAATATCTAACCCTCCCCCAAACCCTAATCCAGTGGTTCTCAACTTTGGCAACTTTAAGATGTGTGGACTTCAGCTCCCAGAATTCCCCTCCTAGCATGCATTTTTGCTCTGTCTATTTCAGAGGGGTTCCAGGGGCCTGGGATATTGCATGTGACCTGGGTCTGTCCAACCCTGATTTATAAGATATTATTGGCATACTGTACAAACTAAGTGTGTGGAAGTATTGGTCTGAAACCAATACCTGTCCCTGACAAAATGTCACTTAATTATAACAAATATAAATAATTGCAAGTGCATTTAATGCAAAAGAACAAAACACATTAGCTAAAACATGCACAATTAATTAAAGGAACATACACTTACGGCGTTATCCCCTAAAATATCCAGTTTTTTCATCAACTCTGCTACTAGTATATCCTAATAGGAGAGAAGTATATAGGGAACAGCATGTGAAAAGAACATGATATTATACGAAGTTAGAAGCAAAAATAAAAACTGCAACAAGAGCAACTGGAAATTACTTACTGTTACACCTTCTGCCTCACAATAGGTTTGGAGGGGACTTTTCCCTTCCGTAAAAGGAATGTGATGAAAATTGATGGCTGGTGATCTTCTTTCTCTCTCCTATAATCAAATCATGTGTGCAAAAAAGGAGTGGCTTATGGCTGACAATATGATTTTATTAGTAAATTTTCCAATGTAAGCTACCAAAAAAAAACAAAAACAAAATCAAATATATAAGTTGATAAATTAGAAGCTTTGTTTAAGGATTGGTTTTGGGCATTTTGGGTTGCATCCAGAGTGTGCTATGCTTTAAATACAGCAGTGAAGCATATACATACGAAGAAAAATATTGCTATGAATGTGGTATTTGATATAAAACCCTGCTTTTCTTAGCCTTCATCAATATGTTGCAAACGCAGCCTTGCAGACTGTAGATGAGCCTTGTCTGAACTGGTGGTGTCTTATAGATCTGTTGGACTTTATGTAGCAATCAGGTGGGGAAGCTGCCTTACAGGAGATTTATTCTAGTCCTAACCCCATTTCATACTGCTTAGGGGAGGACCAAAAACTCCAGGAATATTTGCATGCTAATATGAGGATCTTTCCACATAGGACAGTGGTAATCCAGGATTAGCTCTGTCCTCCCATGTTCCTGCAATCCTATGGGATTCCAGCAGATTTCAGAAGGTACTTAACTCCACTGCTGTTCCAGAAGAAACACTCACACACACAAAGATATTGTTATATTTCCTCTTAGCCGACAAGCAGATTGTTGCTTTTGGCTGGGAAGTCCCACCTCATCATGCTGCCGGGACTTTTCCTTATGATTCTTGGAATTTTTCTTCTCCACCTTAGGTGAAGGTGGCTTTGTGCCTATAACTCTAGGTAGCTTTGCTGCATCCCTCCATAGTGGCTGGTTTCTTGATGCTGCTTTCCTTTCTTTTTTCCTCATCACAAAAAGCAAACTTGATGAGGGGTGAATAAAAAAGAGGGCAGCCACTGTGAGCTGCCATTTTTAGCCCTTTACCACTGGCCAGAGGGAAATTGTCAGGACATTAAAGAACTGCTATACAGTATCACAAAAATGCTCCTGACAGTTTGGTGGCTAAGTGGAAAGAGCTAAGACAAAAAACTTCAATTTTCCCCCAAATAAGTAATACCGTGTTGATGTTTCTAATATGCTGGGAATACAAAGTCTGAGACCTTTAGGTTTTCCTCGCTTTCACTGTAAACTCTAATCATATGGGTTGTGTACCTTGGTCTCTGTCAGAACCTTAACAAGGATAGATATGAAGACAGACCAAAGTGATGAATGTAATACCTCATGGACCACCAGATGGCATCAGTTTTGATTCTGGGGCAACCTTCATCCTTACCAAAGAGAAGGAAAGATTTATTGAACTAGGTTCTAGATATAAATCTGCCATTTATTTAGCAGATGGACACAAATTGCTGTCAGCTAGTAGAGGCACAGTGAAATTCCATTGTGCATCAAGTACAGGAAAGGTGTTCAATTTTACTAATAAAGATGTATTGTATGTCCTGAATCAGGAGTCACATCTGCTTTCAGTTAAGCTGGCTCTCAGTCTTAGTGCGCTGGGATTTCTGTGGGCCAATGCAAATTGCTGCACCAAGTGGAAATAAATACCTACTGACTTTTTATCAGTGATTTTCCCATCTTTTTCTTTTGCTACCTGGTCAGTGAAAAACATTCAAAGAAGATGTGGCTTTAGTAAGCAATACATTTGGGAGAAAACTGCACAGGTTATTGCAAGGGGGGGGCAAATATATGGCAGGCAAAAGTACCTGAAAGAGCAAGGGATTGTGCATGATACTACCTGGAACAGAACAGTGTAGCAGAAAGGAAAAATGGTTTCCTGACTGAAATGATGAGGTGCTTGCAGCAAAATGCAGAACTTGCTGAAAAATATTGGGGAGAGGCAACTACTTGTAAAACTAACTCCCAATAAAAGCTACAGATGCAAAAATACATGAACTATAGGACGGAAGGACACCCAGTCTAGCACACATAAACATTTAGTTCTAAAATGGGTGCATGTGTGCCAAAAGAAAAGACAACCAAGGTGAACTGCAGATGTGAAGAAGGAGTAATGGTTGGATTCTCATAATGCGGCAAAAAATACAAGATCCTGGATCCTACCATGCAAACTATTAAAATATGCAGTGATAATCATTTTGACAAAAGGAAAAAAAAAAGGAATGAAGCTTTTGTTTCCTATCTCTAGGTAAACAGCAAGCAGAGACCCTGAGTTTTTAATCACATGCCTGGAATTTGACTGCATGTTAGAGCCAGAAGGGGAAACTGAGGCACTGAGGCCAGAGACTTTGGGACACCCAACAAAGAGGCTTCACCATAAATGTTTTCCTATTTTGCTAAGAGGGAGCACATGGAAGAACCCCACACATAGAAGAACACTGAAAGGGTGTCAGCCACTGAAGAAGACAAATGGAGAATTGATGAGGAGATTTGAAGCACTTCACAAGTGTGATATCTGGAAACTTGTCAGGCTACCTTCAGGGAAAAAAACTCTGGGATGCAAGTGGGTTTTCAAGATCAGGTAGATGCAGACAAGGAGGTACAGCACCATAGAGTCAGATGAAAGGATACACCCAGAAGATAGATAAGGATTATGATGACAGTTTTGGTCCAATACTCAAGCATAACTCCATAAGGAAATCGCTCAGCATAACAGCAGCAAAAGATACTACATTCAACAGCCACCTGGATTTGAGGAACCAGGAAAAAAAGATTTTGTGTCTAAGCTTCAGGACAGTTCAAGACAGAACTGAAAAGCTGAACCAGATGCATGTCAAGCAAGGTTTCATGCAAGATAAAGCTGATCTTCGCCTTTCCTCCAGATTCAGGAACAACAGATGGCCATACATTCTCATCTGTCTGGATGATCTGGTCATCTGTTACCAAAATAAGGATAGCCAAGTGATTGTAAAGAACCTTAACAAAGAAACAGAGGTGAAAGAACTGGGAAGCATCTTGTACTGTCTCAGTACCCAGACCAGAAGTTTTCATCAACCCAAAGACAAAAGATAAAAGATCTTTAGGCCTATACCTGTTATTACCTTCCTTTTGAAGGTAATAACAGGTATTACCTTCAATTTTTGCCAAGTTTTCAAAATCCTGAACTGTAATTTTTAATGGCGTAAATCAAATTAGATTTTAGCTGCATATGAGAAAGCATGACTGAGTGGGGAAGGGGGAGACCACAAATGTAATTGCTTAATTTCAGTCCTTAATGTAGTTTTGGGGAAGCAGGGACAGTGGTGAGATTGGGTTGGCATGATGTACAGACTCACGATACTCATTCATGATGTTCCTTCAAAGGCATCACTTCCACAGACAAAAGGGTGTGTGTGTGTCAAAGGACAAGATGGAATATGTATTTGTTACTTATGTTCAAAGCTGCTTAGACCTATTATACAGCAGGCTGCACATCCACTGGTTGTTATGATAAAAGGCAAAATTAGTCTAATCTAAAGCTGGCTGAGGGATGATGGAAGTTATAGTCTGACACATCTGAAGACCATTTCACATCCGAAGAGGAAGACTCATAAAGCCATAGTTTAATATGGCCTATGCAAGCTAAAGCTAATGAAAGGAAATGTCAGGCTTACATTGATCCCCTCAGAAGCATTTGCTTCCACTTAACATAGCTTGCCATGTCATCCTGCCATGGGGTTGCAGTTATAAACATGGTTATTTCAACATGCCCGTGCTAGAAAACACAATTTGTGTTGTTTGAAATGATGATCCAACAGAAGGAAGGGGAGAAGTAGGAGCCTGAAATTCATGTGTAATGCCAAACTACACTTGGCAAACCAGAATATACATAAACCTAATACATGAATTAGTCCAATATTTGGAACCACATAATTGATGTAATCATGCCTTTCATTGAAGCTATTCTGGCTGAATTTCCTAGATGACATCCTATACTCTAATGACATCCCATGAGCTATAGTGAATGAGGAACACATGACAAAACTCGAAAGCATGACAGAACTTGAAAACTTCTAGTACCTACTTACCTCAAGTTCCAATATTCTAAATTCCAAGAGTTCATTTTGATCTTTAGCATCCTGAACATCATGCTTTAACCGAGCCTCTTCTGCCTCCATCTGTTTTATCTAGAAAAGCAAAAGGATTTTTCCTTTTTTAATTTTGTCAACAATTTTTTTTTAAATTACACTTAGCTTCCATAACCAGTGACTACAGAGCTGGTTATGGAAGCTAAGAATGTGAGCTCTAATACGTATTGCCTCAACCATTAACTCAATGATAATACTTTACCAAGTCACCATTGCTCAACCTCACACTTCCATATGTAGGTGGAAATGTGTTAAAATACTAACACATTTTAAAAACAAATTTCAGAGCTAAGGTATACATGATCTGTGAACACTGGAAAGGCTGAATGTGTTGTTATTCAAAAAAAAAAATAAAAGTCACAGATTTGTAGTTCATGTTTTTCTTATTTTAACCTTTAGAATTGAAGATGTCTAAACAACATTGAAAATGCAAAAAATACCATTTCTGTTTCATGACAATTTTTCTGTAAGTCTGTTATGGACTCATTTAAATTATGTATCCTTTTGATGAGGGGGGAGTTTACAAAATATATACATACAATGTTTCATTAGGATTTTTCTTAATCTTTAGTGACTTATTCACACTTACTTTTAAGTTTCATATGAAAACAGAAGGTACCTTTTCCACAAGCTCTTGGTTTCTTTTGTATAAAGCCTGCTTTTCTTCAATCCACTTCATGTCCTTAAATAAATAAATAAATAAATAAAGACAGAAAGACAGAAAGACAGAAAGACAGAAAGACAGAAAAGAAAGAGCCGGGAAACACCATGGATGTTTTAAAAAGGCAAAACATTTGAAGAGAGCACATATGTGCCTAAGAACCAAGGGAAGCACAGCTGAAACTTGGCTTTCTGATTTGGCTTCAGCAGTTTCTAGAAAAAAACACAACGTGACTTTCCAACAGCAAACAATCTGTCTTTTGAAGAATGCTGAAATGAAATACACCCTCCTGAAGAGCTTTAGCCACAGTTTTGGAGTGCCCTCTTCAATGAATTATAGACCCAATTTACAAGGATAGCAGCCTTCAGAAGAACAGGAAGCAACAAAATCCAGGATAAACAATACGAGAAGCAGGTTTGGTGTCTACTTTTACTAAGTGATCCTTCCCCTGATATCGTCTGGATGTGTTTGCATTGCAGTTCCCGCGACTGCCCGTGTCTTTTGTTCTTATATGAGCTTTTAAGAGAAAGCTTTTAACGTAGGTGTAAGGTGCACACAGCATATTCATTCCCTGTATTTTATGTCTCTTTTTCACTAGCTTGGGGAATAGCTGTTTCTCATTGAAATGGGAATTAATTGGCTTAAACTCACAGACAATGGGAATTTTTAGCTCAATGAGTATCTGCACATAAACTATGAATTATTAGAATGACAAGCATCAAAGATCAATAGTATAATTCATTCAGAGAAAGAGAGAGGCATAAAAATGGAAAAATAATCATTCACACATGAAAGAAAACATGATTTGGTGAAGGTTGGCACATTATCTGATACACTAGTTCTAAATAGCCTAATTTAAAGCTAGAAAAGACCTAAAGCTAGGAAAATTATTTTAACTTAGATAAAGAGAGGGGAAATATGGAATTACCAGTTGTGATGGATAAAGACACACTAAGGAAAAGTTGAGCTGCTGAATAGACTGAGGAAAGGTGGGGCAAAACATATAAGAAGAAAAATAGAGGAAACAGAGCAAGAACAGAACATTATCCGTTCAAGAGAAGGAGCAAACACACAGGACTATGTTTCTGGATTGTACACAGATAATAATACATACAAGCTACTTTCCAAAATCTCAGTTTATAGCCAAAACTGCTCTGAAAACTCTATGAGGCAAAGAACTAAGCTATGGATTTACTACAGTGGGGCAAAAGAGTATTTAGTCAGCCACCAATTGTGCAGGTTCCCCCACTTAAAAAGATGAGAGAAGCCTGTA